GGACACGCGACGTCCAAGTCGAGTGCGTAACTTGTCTTTTTTCCTGAATGAACCTAACACAAGTGAATCAATCAGCGACCGCGGTTTCCAAATCTCCACAAACGCAGACAAGAATCTCTACCTCTTGAACAACGAGCTCTACATCTTCCCCACCCTCACCCGGGACGATGTACCAGACTATGCCTCGGACGGACAGACGTACGACGTCCCCGGGTGCACCGCAAATGTCCCTGCCGACCCTGTCCCCGCTCCTGCGTCTAATGGTAATTCTACCGGTAATGGCGATGCCGGTAATGGCAATGACGGCAACGACAATGGATTCGCGAGCACGACAGCCACCGCTATCCGAGGAGGCCACACCGCCGCTGCAGGGACCCATGCGCGGAGGCAGGCCAACTCTACCGACACTTCTGGCGACTCGACCTCCTCCAACTCGACCTCCTCTTCCGGCTCAGAGACCCCACCGCCGCCGCCAGCCATAGGAGGCGGCTTTGCAGCAGCAGGCGGAAACGCGTGCAAGGCGATAACGAACAAGGCGGCGGGGGCTGTGATTAACCCTGTAATGAGCGCAAAGATTACGACCAAGGGCAAGGTTGGGATCAAGTATGGGAGGGTCGAGGTTGTTGCAAAGGTTGCGAGTGGGTGAGTGCCAGTCTACTTTTTATTTCATCGCTGGCTGGGAGATGATGAGCTGGCGAGCGGGTGGATGCGAGACATGGATTGAATGGAGAGGAGTGTTTGCGTTTGTTGGGGGGAGAACGGGCGGCGGGACACGTGACGTCATTTTTCAGAGCGCTGACAAATGACCATCTTGCAGAGACTGGCTCTGGCCTGCGGTATGGATGATGCCAGAGAACAATACGTACGGCGCTTGGCCGCTTAGTGGCGAGATTGATGTGCGTTAATTGTTTTCCTTCTTTTTCCAAGTCATTTTCTAACGCTATACGACCAGATCCTCGAAGCGCGCGGTAACAGCCCCGCGTATCCCGCCCAAGGATCCAACTTTGTCCGCTCACAGCTCCAATACGGGCTCGACCAGACTCTCACACCAATCAACGTTCCGGGTGCAAGTACGTCATTTCCATTCAAAAACCTACATACACTCACATTCCCCTTCCCCTTGCTCTCTCAAAGCCAAACAGCCCCAACCCCTCACAAAAGACCTCTTTGGCTGGTTCTCGCTCAAACGCACGTCCTTTGACAAGGGCTTCCACACGTACGTCGTCGAGTGGGACGAGTCTTTTGTCCGTTTCTGGGTCGATGGGCGCGTACGATCCATCTTGGAAGTCGATGTGAATCCAAAGACGAAGCCGAACAAGAACGGCGAGGGCGGAGGAGGCACGTTTTGGGATAAGGGTAGGTTCCCTGCTACGGCGCAGAATAAGACGACGGGCGCGGTGGTGGTGGTGCAGGACCCGTGGAAGGAGGGGACGCCGACGGCGCCGTTTGATCAGCGTGAGTTTTAGCTGGAGATTTTGGAGATTTGGGAACTGATGCATGGGTTTTGTAGGGTTTTATTTGAATGTCGATTTGGGGGTTGGGGGCAAGACCGGGTGGTTCCCTGATGATAAGGGCGGGAAACCGTGGTATGATGGGTCGGCGAGTACGTTTGTCTTTTTTTTTTTTTTTTTCTTTCTTTCTTTCTTCATTCCTCGTATCTCCTTCCTACCTTTTCTCTTCCTCCCTTCTCATCCTTCCCTCTCACTCCGCCGACTCCACGTCGACTCCACACCCCCACCTCACCCCATCGGCCTCTTTACACTTCCGCTCCATCTCATTACGCATTACGTTTCCCAAAGCTTACATCCATTCATTCAACCTCCTTCCACGCACACACACTCATACTCAAACTCTCCGGCTACTGCTACCGCTACGGCCTCTCACATCTCCCGCGCCTCCTATCCCCCCTTCCCTTCTTCTTTCCATTCTTCTTTCCATGCGAGGACACTGCCCGACGCCCGATAAGCGCGATCAGGGCCTTCGCTGCCCTTGTTCTTTGTCATCTTGGTCTCCCTTCTCCCCTCGTTCCTTCCCTGCCCTGCCCTTCTCCCCTACCCTTATCTCCTCTTCTTTATCCGGCAATACGCTCATACTAACCCCCTTCCCTTCTTTTCCTAGCCGCGATGCGCGACTTCAACAATGACATCGACACGTGGTACGCAACATGGCCTCAGAACGCGGATGATAGAGCGTTTAGGATGTACGTACCCCTTTCTCCCCTTGCCCTTCCCTCCCCTCCCCTCCCCCTTCTTCTTTTCGTTGAAACCTGAATGGTTGATGGTGCACATACAGCTCTTCTGTGAAAATGTGGAGCAAGGAACCTTGCAACTGATTGATACCTTGTATAACGCAACGCAACTTTATAACGTGCCGCGGGATGGCTCTCGGTCTCAATACCAATACCCGGACGACAATGCTTTGATACATATGTGATAGGACATGGACCTCTACGCTACAAACACGACTTGATCTTCGATCCTCGACTCGAACTTGATGTGCCCACAACTACCCCTGCGTGTTTTACTTACCCATTGACTTTTGCGTGTCTTTTTTCTTTTTTTTTTTATTCAAGTATACATCCATTCTGACTGCGCATGAGACCGCAATTTGGAGATTCACGATACGTTACATACAAAACAGAACTCGGTTGATAATAGACTTAAAAACGTATACAGACATACCTTTTATATAAGTATAGTCTTTTTTTTTTTTGCGCTGGGATTCTGAGATGAGCGAGACCGCCGATTGAGAAATTATTCGACCGAGTCCGCCACTGTGGCGGCAGGCTTCAATCTCGATAGACTGTCGGCTAGTACTCTCGGTGCCACGCAATTTCCGTATGTTCTCCGAGTCTTCTTTTGCCACTATGTACATGAGTAACCCTGAATAACCGTGCCAGTGATGATACACGTTCATGTTCTTCGACTTCTTCATGGCATGATCGATCTTAATTACTGAAACGCTTCTGTTTCCAAGAATCTCAAAAGTTCAGGCAGACCCTTGAAAAGAGCGATAGCTAAAGGTACTTTAATTCCTGTATTTGTGGAAATGGCGCAAGTCGAGACCAGGCTATCAAATCGATCAAAGCCATGGCATGGCTACGTAGCCCATCGACGGTCGTCGGTGCCCACACTATTACTTGGCTGCCAAGTCCCCCGGCCACTTTGCATTCGAAGTTTACTCCGGCCAGCGAACTCCGAATACAACTCACATATACATTGGGTTCAATTTCTTAGGGATGTGTCTGGTATGTACCGTGACTCCGATGTGCCTAAGCGATGGATGGACACCACATGCGCCCCCAAATGCGCCCTCAATGCGTCGGACTAGATCAGAATCGGTAATGCATGATCCAGGTTCCAATTGGCCGCTGTATACCTTGGACATTGTAGTCAAGCTGGCTGACTCGTGCTCCTGTATGGTCGTACCACGGTCTCGTATGACCTGGACAATAGCATCGGTGACGCTTGCTTGACTCTGCCAAGTCTGAGCCTCCGATTGACTTGTTATCACCCTCGAAGCTTCTCATTGTAGTATATGAGTATAAGCTTGCGTAATCGTAATGATCATGGCTGGAGCATCTTTGGCAGATCCCGCCGGTGAAGTGAGTTTTGCGTCTCCTATGATCATGAGGACCATGCGGTAATCATGCTAACTTATTCAGACAATGACAGTCCTTACACTCTGCTGTCAACCGTCGCTAGACCTGGAACTAGTGAATTTTTTTTTTTTTTTTTACTCCTGTGGACCGCTTCTCCATGCATAAGACTTAACAATTCGGAACGGACGCACCGACATGGCTTCTACTTTCCCTCAATTAATCTCGTTTCGTGTGACCGGATGGTTGATTGATATGCCCATTGAATTGTCTGTCCATATTCATTGTGTTGCTGATGAGAAAGTCCCCAGAAATCGGGGTCTGTCACTGCTGTGCAGTGCATCCATTTACCTCTACTGTCAACCTGACAGTTTCTTTCGGGCTGAACTGTTTACACAGGATCATTCCCATGACCAGCGCGCTTCCCTGGCATACAATACGACGGTGGCAATTGAATTGACCACAATGTGGTCTTTGGGCATCGCGTTCAACTCCAATTGTGCTAATTAGGATGACCCCATGACCGGCGTCTCTCTGGTATAATGGCTCCAATTGAGTTGGTCCTTAGGCGTTGCTATCATTACAACTGCAATTTGTACTATCAGGACGGATCCGAATAAGGGGGTACAATTGAGCCCACAACAGTTGCTATAGCATCGCGAGTTTCCTGTCAAGAACATGCAAATCTATTCGCCACTGACATAGCACAATCTGCTCCAAATAAGCACGTACTTACCTAACCTCCGAGGATCAAAGGAGGCACGGTGACTTACAGAACATGATTGAGGTTGCCGATGACAGTTTCATGAGAAAAAGTAAATAACTTACCTGTGACCCTGATTGATCATTAAATATTAATATGTATTAATGATTGATCGTTATCCCACGTTATTCTTTGTTAATTAAGTCCGTGTGGGAAACTCAGGGTCCAATATGAGAATCTAGTCCGGTTGTTGTCAATGTGGCGCCGAAAATTGAATCCGATACATATTGCCAGTGTGGCAGTGCAGTAAAACCGAAAGTAAACCGTAGCAAACCTCAAGGCCAAGACATTGCACTGCCGGGATCCGAACTCTCACAATCATAGGTTACCGTGAGCCGGTTAAACGCGATTCCAAGATGTCATCAGACAACAGACGGGCAATTGTACTAGTGACCAAGCTGGAGTACGACAAATGTTGGATGCTGATGTCGGCCCGGGGTCAAATCTTGAGAGTCGAGTGATTGCCAACAAGGTCTGTATCACTCTAGTAATGCCACACCCGGTTAATTAGACCCGAGTAATCTCTAGTGACCTTTTGGTATCATAAAGGCAAATATTTAAGTGTAGGACTCAACTTGAAAACCAGGTGGCGCAATGTTTTGTTGGCTTTCGTGGTTGTAGAAGATTTAACATACATAAGGGGACTTGGCACAGTGGTAGCGCGCCTGCTTTGCACATTTGTGTAGTTGCATGAGGTCGTGGGTTCGAACCCCACAGTCTCCAGTTTTTCTTCCTTCCGATCGCTCCTCAAAATGGACCACGAACTCCCAGTGTTTGCGCCACGCATGGAGACATTTATTTTTGTCCCTGAAGTTCAGACTTTATTTCCTAAAGGAATGTCACAAAATCTTGAAAGACCTGTCGTGCCACAACGGACAAATTGCACTGTTCTCGGTATTACTGCGGTCCGGGCGCAAGCATCAACTTGATGCATCACGAACGCCATATCTTCTTCCATGCTGTTTTAATAGAATGTGTTGTCGCCTTTGACCTCTTAACAATCATGTCATGAAATCGGCGACACCCATAAGGTACTTAGTGAGATTGCATCAAAAATACAAAGATCATAGAGGCAGCCATCAAGAAGTATATTCGACACCACATACTCAGAGCACAAGTTGTGTGTATGGTGTCAATCAAACACATGGCTACCTCTCGCAAGCTATTTCTTGCCGCTGCAATGACATTCATCGAACTTCTTTTGAGCACCTAGACTCAGAGCATAAGTGCTAAGTTTGCTGCATCAAAAGCTTACACATTGCCATAGCTAGACCGCACCACATAGGCCTCGAGCACGCCCTCATGCATTGCCCATAGCCCTTACTATAACAATCTTCTCCTCCAGGTCTGTCATAACGGGAATTTGTCATCACGAGACTTGAATGTTGTTGTGATTAAAAAGAAAGCATACCCGCCAAACGGGCAACCGCTTCCCCTTTCCAGAAGGGCAAGATGTTCAGCGTTCAGACTCGGAGCTGCGGATGCAAACCACGGCGCGACAAAGAAAACCATAAGAACACAAGTTGAGAGACGCATAGCGATCAGTCTGGAGGTATTCGGTCAACGGAAACTCAGTCAGACAGTGCTTGGAGACCAGCTGAGGGTTCCTACGTTTCGGTCATCTCTATAAATACTTCCATGGACGCGGGCAGGATCGGCGTGACATGGAAAATACAGCTGATGGCTCAAGGGTAGTAACGGAACAAGCGTAAGGTAGCCCACATTTGCGATTTGTGAAGGTCACTGGCAGTTTAAATCATCAACAATTTTGAGATCAATGGCACATGGCACATAATCACTTAGGATTCGTTGCTCATACGCGTCATTGAACATGCCAAAAACATCGGGGAAACTTAGCCCCCGTGACGAGAGCATAACAACAAATTCAGAGATCTACTGAGCGCAAATTTGAGCGGTGGTGATAAGTTCCGACGGGTTTGACCAGGCCAGCGTTATAAAGAGATTAGCAAAACCGTATCAGGTCAATGTGGGATCACATGGAGACGATGGGGTTGAAACTCGTTGATGGCCTCGCATATCCGACCTTTGTCGCGTGTGCATCACCACAATTGATGTTTCAAAGGGTTTCAATGATCCTGCCAAGATAACAGAAATTTTTCAACGTCATCGAAGTCCAGGAATATCGTTACGGCAGACATGGTTGGTAGTATCTTAGTATGAATGTAAGCCAGGCTTACAAGAAACCCCAGTACAGCCTCGAAACGCGAGAATAACATTGAGAACGCTAGCCATCAAACATGACCTGAAAACAATCTTCCAATAAGTTGGACTGGAGTTGCACGAGCAGATGGCCGCTTGATTGTCAACCCACCTCCGGCAACGCATTTGCAAACAAAACCCGCCACTACCAAATGCTAATAGGCCTGATGTGTCAATAAGACTCTGACTTGCGAGCACTGAAACCAGACAGATACCTCTTGTAAAAGAAGACAGTCTGTGAACTTCAGATAAAACAACAAACAGACTTGATAAAAGATGGAGACTGTGGGAATTGAACCCACGACCTCACGCACATCGAACAACGGTGCGAAGCGCGCGCTCTACCCCTGAGCTAAGACCCCTTACAATCATCATCAAAATAGCATTACCTGAAGTGGAGGGCTACCAACGAGGAACTCCAGAGACGTAATAGATTGGGTTTGGATGCCAGGAATCATCCTGCAAATGCATGAGATAAGAAGCTCGTTTGCTCCAATCTCTCCCGTGATTTCCTCTGCAAACAAGGAGGAAGAAGGATGAGCAGTGCTTGGCGATATGATGAAAGCGACAAACCCTTGAATTAGCACCAGTAGCCTTCGCTTGAGGGTCCGGTCAAGTCATTTCTTGCTTAAAGGCCTGCTGATTCTCCAAAGCAGCTTACTTCGAATGTTATATACAACATATAAAAGCTTCATTGAGACAACGTGAGGCAAAGACGCGTCCTTCGCAGCAAGAGTGAACATTCAAACAAGATGAAAAGGCGTTGTGTAAGGGATGTATAGATACTCGAAGAGCGTAGCGACATTGATGGTTCAAGTAAGGGAGTGAGGAAGAGGCGTGTTGTGGTGTGTCACTGTTCGCATTAGGTCAGCTGCCATTTCGAGCCTGCTAAGGTGACAGCATCCTTCTTCAGAGGTCTCCATCTCCTGGTCGCTCTCGAAATTCCTACAAGTCATCATGTCAAACCGTGCACTAAACGATGAGGAGGTCCTACAACAGATGAACAAGATGGTGCGTAGCATTTGAACGATAGTTCATTCCAACAACTCTGATCACAACACCTGTCATTCCGGTATCTTGCACTCGCGCTTGAATGAAACTTTATAGGTTGCCTTTATCAAGCAAGAGGCACTTGAGAAGGCCAGAGAAATTAGAGTCAAGGCAGATGAAGAATTTGCGATTGAGAAGGTACAGTTGTTCGTGTTACATTCATGTTCATGATGTACTAAGGTTGGCTGGCATACAGGCCAAGCTCGTGAAACAGGAGCAGCAAGCTATCGATGCTCAGTACGAGAAGAAGCGAAAAGGTGCTGAAGTTGCACAGAGAATGTACGCCTTATCACTAATCCGAAACCTCGTATTCACCATTCAGACCTTGATCTCGCAGTGCACAATCCACATTAACCAACAAGTCACGCCTCAAGTTGCTCCATCGTCGTGAAGAGCATCTTCAAGATCTTTTCTCAACATCGCGTGCTGCCGTAGTCAAGCTTGCAAAGGACGAAGGCCGCTATGTTCAGTTCCTTCAGGGTGTCATCGTCCAGGGTTTCCTTCAGATTCTAGAGCCCAGTGTCACGGTATATGCCCGGGTTCAAGACGTAGAACTTGTTAAGCAAGCAGCAGCGAATGCGCAAAAGTCGTATACTGAAATCAGTGGGAGGAACATTGAGTATGAAGTAGAGGGTTCCCTGAGTGACGACGCGTGAGTGTTTGATGTTTCTCCTGATATATGTTCCGGAGCTCAGGTCGTACGGCTCATCTCTAGCGCTGGTGGCGTCAAGCTAATCAGTGGTTCGCGTCGCATCACTCTTGATAATACGCTGGATGAGCGTCTGCGACTACTTGAAGATAGGGTGAGTTGCCATCGTCCCTTTCGTGTCGCATGCTATATACATTTTCATAATGGCATTTTAGATGCTTCCTGAAATCCGTAAGGATCTCTTTGGCGCCAACGAGAACAGAAAATTCTACACATAATCATTGTATACCACGCGCCAGTATTAGAACGGACAATTTCGATTTCCTTCATCATGACAAATGTTTCATTCCTGGAAAGAGAGACCCGGTGACGCTAAGTCTTGTCCTATATCCTCCAAGCTCAACGTATTAGTACTTGTAACTGGAAGAGTAATGACCATCTTCACAGCATATTTTGTCTGTTGAAGCTCAATATTCCACGTAAACCAAAGACAAGAATACATACACAGCAGGAGGTACACAATTCCAAGAGCAGCGAATTCAAACTGACGAAACACCACCTCTCGCGGCGGAACTCTCTCAAATAATTGAGAGATGGTTCCAGTACGTTTATAAACTGCTCTCAATGGAATCGATTACGGGGGTATGCAATACATGGGAGAATATACCATAGCAAAGGGAAAGCTCAAACGTTATCAAGGCCAAGAATGAAAGAAAGTCGTAACCAATAGTGAACATCCGAGGACGAAAAAATCCATTTCATCCGCGACCCCGATCGTCCAGCGCAGGATCAATAATTCAAATCCCCAAGGACCTCAAGTTTTCACAGGAACCAAATTCTCCTTATCACCCAACACCTCATGCGCAGGGCTCTTCGCTCCCTTCCTCAGGACGCCTAACTCCCCCCCAATCCCGAACCCAAAGATCTTCTTCTCCTTCTTAATGGTATTACTTTCCGCAGGCGTCTCAGCTTCGACAATCTCAAAGCTCACATCACTCCACTCCTCCGGCATCTGCTCAAGCATGAGTGGCGCAAGGGGTTTCAGCTTCATTCCGTCACCCGTCACATCCAATCGGATGGGTGATTCGGTAATCGAGGATAGGACGTCTGCACTGTCGGTGTTTGAGAGTGTGCTGAATTTGAGTGCTGATTGATTTGCACGGCGCTCGGCGAACGCAGCTGTGGCACCCCCAGCAGTAGGCATCGGTGGCCTAATTTTTGATACGCCAATGGAGGATGAGGATGAGGGTAGAGTGAGTCCTAATCCGACGGAGTCGAACTTGGTTACAAAGGCCGCGAGTGCCCGGCGTTCTTCCTCCAGCGTCATTCGTATCTGCACGCCTCTTTCATCAGGAAAATCGAAACAAAAATGACTCGAACCAAAGGGCAAGAAACATTACCTTTTTCTCCTTTTCAATCTGCTTCACCAGTTCCTCCGCCCACCGCTCCTTCTCCTCTCGCTTCTTGACCTCAGCCGCAAGTTTATCCTTCCACTCCTTCTCCACGTCCTCCCTAACCTGACGCAGAGGCTCCCCAAGGTTTTCCTCATACCCCCTCACAACGATCTCGAGTTCCCGGATAGATTGTCTCTGCTCCTGGATCAGCTGGTCCTTGTCGTTATCTGTTGCGCCAATGGGCAAAGGCGGCCGTGCTTCCAACGCCGCTTCAAGTGAGAGTATTTGTGTTGCCTGCGAGTCGATCTGTAGGCGCGCGGAGAGGAGTTCTTGTTGGAGCTAAGGGGAGAGTGTCAAGGCGATAAACGAGGACGAGGAGAAGAAAAAACATACTTGGTAAGGGGACATATCAAAGTCGAGTTTGACGGGGCTCGCTGGGCGGCTATCATCACCCTTTGAATCGCTGACCGACTGGCTTGTCAGGATCAGCTTCGTCAGTTGTTTAATTCGCGAGTTGAGGTCGTTCATTGTTTTGGATTCATCGATTTGCTGGTATCAGCACTCTTTTCAGAAGATTGCAATGAGGATAGTATGATGACGCACTTCACGCGCGGAGAGTCTGCGGTTCCGGACAGGTGCCTCAGCCTCGCGCTCAGCGAGACGACGCTTGAGGTCCTCGATCTCCTTCCTGTACCTCTCAATAAGCGCGTCCGTGTCCACAACCTCCTTCTTTTGTGCGTTCAACTGTAGTAGTCAACCGTGAGTCTACTTAGCATTTAATAATTGGCAAGGGAATGAGAAAAACCTGGACATTCTTGATGCGCTTCGCGAACTGCAGGGTACTCATGGTTTCGGAGACGGCACTAGGATCGGGATTGATTGTGCAAATGACACTTATGCGTGCGTTACCAGAAAGCGAAGGCTGCAGCATCCGCGTGAGCTTGGAGTTGCGGTAGGGGATGTGATCGCTGGGTGCCACAATAGTCAGTCTAGATATGAACGAAAGGACAGGTAACGCACGTTTTGCCCTTGGAAGCATTGTCAGCCAGGGTGCCAATGACAGTTCCGAGCGTGAGCAAGCTGGATAGTATTGGTCAGAAATATCTCGCCGATAGGTATGAATGAATGACGAACCTCGTATTGATATATTTGCCTTCTCTTGTCCTGTCTTTATCAGAAGTGGCCTTCTCAGAGCCTGCGAGATCAATGAGACTCTGAAAACAACATCAGGTCGAACGCGAAGAGTGTATAAAAAGCGTAATGTACCAGGACACTCGTCTGAACACTTCTCCCGCCACGCGATTGCAATCGTGGTCCACTAGGCCCTGGCGTCTGCGACCTTCCTAATCCCGGCGTCTGTGATCGCGGCCCAGGAGTATTCCTTCCTGGCGCAGGCGTATGGCGCCCATTACCAGAGGCAGGCTTCTCATCGTCATCGTCGTCCGTACCACCTCTCTCCCGACTCTCGATGACCATGCGGAACACGCTGTGGCTGCGACTACTTCGCTCGTTCCAGTCTGTGCACGCCGTCCGACGGTTTCCCTCGCCCCTCCGTAGCACCTCCTTCACTCCCTTCAGGCTCGTCACTACCTCCTCTCGCAAAGGAGCAAGGATAACATCGTTCCCTGGTCCGCCCTGTAACTGAACAGGATTCTTTGCCGCGCTCGCGGGAGGCGCAAGGAGATCATGAATTGTTTCATTGTAAATTTCGAGATACGAGCACCGGAGGAGGTATTCGCGTTTTGGGGTTTGACGAATAAAGGCGAAGACGTCGCGCATTGCGCGGGGGATTATACCAGGTTCAGACTCGTTACCACTCAGAGTAAAAGTCTTTCCGGACGCGGTTTGCCCATATGCGAAGATGACGGCGTTGTAGCCTTCCATGGCAGCGTGCACGTGCGAGCGCGCGACGGTGCTGTAGATTGGCTTGTTGGGTGTGCTAGTGAGAATTGAGTCAAAGTTGAAGGATTGGATGGGTGTGCTGGAGGATTTGGCGTATGTAGGATCGAGTTTGATTGAGTTAGTGGTAGCTGGAGTAGGGATCCATGCTGATGTGCTGTCCGTCGGTCGAATTCTACAGGAACTGTGAGTCACTGCCAATGAAAGGTTGGTGTATCCTTACCTTACGGAGACCATGACTTTGTCTTCTTTGCCATGATCTTGGGTGACAACCTGGAGCCACGCCTCGTCCATTTCACCAGAGATATCACCCGGCTCTACAGTTGCAGAGTCCACAAGTACTTCTTCAGGATCGACGTTGCTGACGTCC